ATTCTCGACACTCCCTTGACTGTAGGACTTGCACGCTGAATAATAAAACTACCAGCATATCCATCTTCAGATGGAGTCCCTTGAACAAGCTGGCTTACCCGATAAGAGACGGAGGCTGCCGTAAGACGGACGTTGGAAGTACTCGGTACCTGGAGGCTGGCGACGGGAGTCCAGGGCATCTCAGCTCTTTGAGCTCATCTAGGCCGATAAGCACGCAAGCCATGCTCACGTCAATGCACCGCCAGCCCAAGTCAGGAGGCAAGATGGCATGGCTTTGTTGCCTTTGACGGTCACTCTGCTTGGTAACATGAATCAAGCACTCTATTTGTAGTAGTCGGCGCAAGAGCTCCGAACAGGTCCGTCCTCGTGCGACAAAGAGCTTGAGCTCGTAGCCAAGTAGGGTAGCAACAATACGCCCGTCGTGGCACAAGGCCGTTTTGGCTTACGCCAGCCAAAGGTTGCCAGGCACGAAAAGGGATGCGAATCTTGGTTACGCCCGTATTATACAGTGCATCTCATGCCACCCAAGGGGTCCAGCCAGATGCAGCCACGCCAGCTCCCGGCTGTAAATAACGTCGATCAGCACGGCGTCACTGGGCACTCGCCTCCCTGGCCACCGTCACGAGTCGTCCCCGAACGGGCATGAGGAATATTGGGAGAATGGCTCGTGATCAAACCGAGCACGAGCCAGGCAGCGGACCAGCAAGATTCAGGTGGCGGCCAATCGGAGCTCCATCTATCCCCGCATTCTGTCGCAGTATGGGATCCGGTCAGGACGGGGGAGCGAAATGGGGCCAGATGCACCGCTGCGGCCTGGCAAATGCAGGGCTTATCGTCTGGTTGAGCTGGCGTCGTCCGGGGGAGCAAGGAGGCAGACACTGGCTGGGTGCATCAGCTGGGGCGAATGACGACCTTGACGGGGCAGATAGCAAAGCCTACCTACCTAGGTACCTCCGGAGCAACGGTAAGGTATCTCGCAGAAGCTGATACGGGCTGATGGGCAATCACCTGCCGAGCGTCGCCCCCTAAATGCCATTGCAGTCTATCCCATCCCTGATTATCGGCCAGTTGATCGTTTGCGTTTCGTTTGCGTCTGGCCAGCGAGACCTTGGGAGGCTGGTCGCGGTAGCACGCAGGCACATGTACCGAGACACGACACACGCCCGTACAGTGCTAGCAGGGCATTCTGGGACTCAGGGGCCCCCAAGCCCAGCTCGATGAGATGGAACTTGGTCTCACAACGTACTCGAAGTACCTCGCACAAGCCGCCGACGAGTCCGCGACATTGGCGTCCCATCTATGTATCTGTAGTAACTACTTAACATGCCCTCAAAGGCGTGAAACAGCACGACGCGTTCCTCATGTAAGGCGCTCGACCCTTGGGCACAAAGACAGATCCGGGTGAAGAGCAGCGAGGCGGTGATGCGCTGTTCACTCAAAGGAGGCCCGTCGGTCGGTCACGAAGCAGCGGTCATTGTCGGGCACCCCAGCCATCATGACGGAACAATGACTCTTCCGAAATGAGCCCTCGCCTTTGTCTCTCGCGGTTGGCCTGCGAACCTGGGACGTGAGCCTTGGAACGTCTGAACCCTGAGCCGTGGAACGCACGGAGAAGCACCAGCTGATGCCCGCCAGAGACAGCGGCCGGGGTCGCGACAAGGGCGACCAGGATGAGCGTTGCGCACTGTAGGCGCGGGTACCCCTTCTCCCTCGGCCCAGGGCAGCAGGTACCGTCCCCAGCCAAGCACCACCGCGCAGGTACAAGGCTGAGTGACCTGGCCCCAAAGGTCGAAAGTGCCCGCTGCTGTTGCGTTATCGCATCGCCCCCGGCCGCGGATTGGACGCGGGAGAGACCGCTAAGCCCGACTGGGCCGAGTCGCACGCTTCCCCGACTGGGCCTAGCCGCCCTCAGCGATGCGTCACCGCGGCTCACTGCTCGCCCGCTGAGGCAGCACTGGCGCCTCGTGCCGCCCTTATCTACCGCGCCATCGCTCGTCCTCCATCCTCCTCCTCTTCTCTTCTTCCTTCATCATCCGCCTCTCCCTCCCATCCATCACCCATCATCTTCCCCCAGTGGTTCCCATCACGCAGGTCGAAGCCGGAGTTTCTCTGTTTCGCTGCGTTTTTTCAGTCTCTTCTGGTGTTGTTTGTCGCAGGTTGACCAACTTCCGTCCTTCCCTCACCAGCCCATCACATCCGCCACCATGCGGTCCGTTGTCGCCCTCTCCATGGCGGCCGTTGCCCAGGCCAGCACATTCCAGATTGGCACCATCCACGAGAAGTCGGCCCCCGTGCTGAGCAACGTCGAGGCCAACGCCATCCCCGATGCCTACATCATCAAGTTCAAGGACCACGTGGGTGAGGATGATGCCTCCAAGCACCACGACTGGATCCAGAGCATCCACACAAACGTTGAGCAGGAGCGCCTTGAGCTCCGCAAGCGAAGCAACGTCTTTGGCGCCGACGACGTCTTTGACGGTCTGAAGCACACTTTCAAGATTGGCGACGGCTTCAAGGGCTACGCCGGTCACTTCCACGAGTCTGTCATTGAGCAGGTCCGGAACCACCCTGACGTAAGTTTTGCACAGCCGCCCTCCCTTTTGGCTCCCCAACAAAGCTAACCCCTCCCAGGTTGAGTACATCGAGCGCGACAGCATTGTGCACACCATGCTTCCCCTCGAGTCCAAGGACAGCATCATCGTTGAGGACTCGTGCAACGGCGAGACGGAGAAGCAGGCTCCCTGGGGTCTTGCCCGTATCTCTCACCGAGAGACGCTCAACTTTGGCTCCTTCAACAAGTACCTCTACACCGCTGATGGTGGTGAGGGTGTTGATGCCTATGTCATTGACACCGGCACCAACATCGAGCACGTCGACTTTGAGGGTCGTGCCAAGTGGGGCAAGACCATCCCTGCCGGCGATGAGGACGAGGACGGCAACGGCCACGGCACTCACTGCTCTGGTACCGTTGCTGGTAAGAAGTACGGTGTTGCCAAGAAGGCCCACGTCTACGCCGTCAAGGTGCTCCGATCCAACGGATCCGGCACCATGTCTGACGTCGTCAAGGGCGTCGAGTACGCTGCTCTCTCCCACATTGAGCAGGTGAAGAAGGCCAAGAAGGGCAAGCGGAAGGGCTTCAAGGGCTCCGTCGCCAACATGTCCCTCGGTGGTGGCAAGACCCAGGCTCTTGACGCTGCCGTCAACGCCGCCGTCCGCGCCGGTGTCCACTTTGCCGTTGCTGCCGGCAACGACAACGCTGATGCTTGCAACTACTCCCCCGCTGCCGCCACTGAGCCCCTCACCGTCGGTGCTTCTGCTCTCGATGACAGCCGTGCTTACTTCTCCAACTACGGCAAGTGCACTGACATCTTCGCCCCTGGTCTGAGCATCCAGTCCACCTGGATTGGCTCCAAGTATGCCGTCAACACCATCTCTGGTACCTCCATGGCCTCTCCTCACATCTGCGGTCTCCTGGCCTACTACCTGTCTCTCCAGCCCGCTGGTGACTCTGAGTTCGCTGTTGCCCCCATCACCCCCAAGAAGCTCAAGGAGAGCGTCATCTCTGTCGCCACCAAGAACGCCCTCTCTGACCTGCCCGACTCTGACACCCCCAACCTGCTCGCCTGGAACGGCGGTGGCTGCAGCAACTTCTCCCAGATTGTCGAGGCCGGCAGCTACACTGTCAAGCCCAAGCAGAACAAGCAGGCCAAGCTCCCCAGCACCATTGAGGAGCTCGAGGAGGCCATCGAGGGTGACTTTGAGGTCGTCTCTGGCGAGATCGTCAAGGGTGCCAAGAGCTTTGGCTCCAAGGCGGAGAAGTTTGCCAAGAAGATCCACGATCTCGTCGAGGAGGAGATTGAGGAGTTCATCTCTGAGCTCTCCGAGTAAGGTCTATCTCTTTTGAGTAGTCCCCAATTTATTTCCTTTGTGTGATGGCCACGATGCGCTCTACGTCATGATTGAGTACGAGGGTCATAGTATGGGATCAGGAGAGACTTGTTTTGCTTTTTTGGGTATTTGGCACGGATATGTTATTTAACGGGGACTTTACCCCCTAGGTTGTACTCTACGCTGCATGGTGCTACGCTCTCAAGATGAGCTTATACAGATCATGATAATAAGACAAACCAGCATTGTCAGATTGATGCTTTAACAGCTGTTCGCACGCGTGATCATACATCGGTGTCCAATTACTTACTACATGTACGCATGCCCCAATCCTCGCAATCTTATATTCTCATATCAAGCCGTCAAGTTGGTCAGCCAATAGATGCCCTAGTAGTAGTTGGTACCTGAGGTAAGGCTTGTAGGCTTATTGTATGATTAGGTATCCCTCTATGGCTGCAACCACCTTGACAATCGGCAACGATACAACAAGGCCGAACCTGCGTTCAGCTATTGCACAGCCGGTTGACGCTTCTTGCCATATACCTATTCACTTGAGGCCACATCTACTCTGACTCCTAAGTGAATCAAGTTTGAAGTCGGGCTACAAGAGCAACGCCGCGGTCAGGTGCCCCAAAAGCTTGGTACCTACTAGGTACTAACCTTACCGTTCCTAAAGTCTGCCAGCTGCCAATCTCCAAATCGTTCTGACAGCAGGAGCCACGAGGCGTCAGGATAGCTCTTGCCTTACAGCTGGCAACAATGGCGTCTTCCGATCAGGGCGCCAGACGGCAGAGTCACTTCCTTCCTCACCAAAGAAAGAGGCGAGAAAGACAACAACATTTCACAGATACCTAAGAAACAAGTAGAAACGGAAGACGAGGCCCAACCCTCAACTCCCCCTTTTGCTTCTCGGAAAGACACATCCATCTATGCTTCGCCAGCAGCAAAGTCTATCTCATTACTGCAGCCTCCTCATCATCGTCATCGACCGCCAGCAACGCACCTCTCGCTACATCGTTTCTCCCTGCTTTGCTATCGTCGTCGGGCAGCTTTCTGGATTCATCAGATTACGCAACGTCTCCTAACCGCCTCGAACCTCGACCACCACGACGATGCTGCGCAGAAACAGCTGCAAAAGCCAGAACCATCGCCCCCTGAGCAGGAGTCGGTCATCCGTCTCTGTGGCGAGAAACGCTGTCCACGAAATCACGGGCAGCGAGCCTCTCGCAGCAGAACGAGATGCGTACCTTGCCGCAACCATCTCGTACAACAAGACCCAGACTCCTCATGGAAACGGCGCCCCGAAGTCTCCTCGCCTGCATCGCCAGCAGAGCGTGAGGTTTGCCGGCCCCAATGCCCAGCCGCAGAGAAAGCTCGCTACGCGGGCAAGCATGGCCACTGTGGGCAACGCTCACATGCCACGGCGTCCCGCTGGCTCTCAGCAGCTCTCTCAAGCATCTTACGAACCAGGTGACGACGCTGCATCCTTATCGTTCGCGAGACTGCGCAAATCGCGATCCATGTATTCGTCCTCGATGACCAAAACACCAAACCACTCAACGGATAATGGCGACCATTCCGATATCTTCGACGCATGGGGAGCAACGCCGCGATTCTCGTCGCTAGCCAAGAAAGAGAACGAGCCCTTCAGGGGTTCAGGCGGGCCCACGCTCAGAACACCCAAGTCCATGGGCTTCCTCTCAAACAATTACGACAGGTCGTCGTGTCGAGCGAGCATTAGCAGCGGCCATGTGTCCGACCAGCACGCACAAGGTAGCTTCTACGAGGCGCCGGGCCGCTCAACTCGCCTACAAAGCCGACCATCGAGTTTCTTTCGGTCCAGTCACAAGTACACTCTGGACACGACAAGTTTCCCCAAGTCTCTTCGAACCAGCAGCACCAACACGACGGTTCTCTCTTCCACGCATGCTTTCGGAACCAGCATCTCCAACGTTCCTTTGAAGCAACCCAAGCTGCGGACTACGGCTCGAAAAATTTCAAAGTCGCTGAAGAGCAGGATCAAGGGGCTCTTCAGCCGTTCCAAAAGTAGGGATGGCACGGCTGACCAGCCTGGGGAGCATCAACAAGAGGTCGAATCAAATGGCGGCGGCTGTTCCCGCACTCAGACGCCGACAGGGGCACCGCAAGAGGCATCCCTTTACCGGGTGGTATCCCATGTGCCCTCTTTTCATTCGGTGCCGCAGAGCCAACAGCTCAGGTCCCGTCAGGGCAGCTTGTGTACCATCGAGGCCGAAGAGGGTGTGTTGGACGACGATAAATCGCGAGTCACTAGCTGGACCAACTCTACTACGGCCACCATTGCCAACCGGCCAGTGTCGGCCAACTGGAGTCACCAGTACCCATCCGGCTTTGGACACGACGGCGTTGACACCCTGCCTTCATCGCACAACCAGGCGGCAGTGAAACATGATCTCCCACCACCTCAGGCGCCTATTGTCAATAGTCAGCGCGTGTACTCGGCGCTCATGAAGAGACTGCAAGAGAAGCGCAATGAACATCCGTCTATGGTCCAAAACGTAACTCCAGATCTTCTTGAGGCAGACACCACTCGAAGTAACTCGACAATAAGACGGCAAGCCCGTCACACCATGTATGAAGGGTCTACTCACACGATTCGCCATGTTCCGTATGACGACGATGTCTTCCAAGATCGCGTTGAAAGGGTGACTGTATCATGCTGTTCTTCAGAGTCGTCCAAAAGCGTTGTCAGGGGACGCCCATCCTTCGACTCCAAGCCGAACCTCGGCCATCAGGCTTGCCCCAGCTCGACGACAGAGGGAGAACTCGGGGCTTCTCCTAGCAAAGGCGACATGAAGTCACACTCAGCTGCCGAATCGCAGAAGCGGCCGCTCTCCAGCCGGAGCTCGGCCTTCTTTGCTAGCCCTACATGCCACCTATTCCGCACGACTAGTCCATATCGTCGCGCACTGCGAGAAAGCATGAAGGCTGCGCAGGGCAGCGACCAACCTCAAACGCCTGATACCAAGTATCTCAGGTCCCTTTCTGCACTCAGCCTCCCTACACGCCGCCCAAGCACGGACGGGTCTCACGATGACGCACGAGCAGCATACGCAGAGAGCGTTTATTCTGATAATAGTGATGAGGATGCGCTCAACAACAATTACCCCTCATCGCCTTCAAAAGTGGTCAACAAAGGGGCAGGGTCCATAGGCCACGGCGACGCTACCATCTTCCTCAAAAGCGAAATACAACGACCAAGAGCGTCTGGCCAACATGCTCGAGAAAGCTCCTCTACCAGCTCGGTCGAATGGAAGACGTGGCTCAGTGCCAACGTGTCGAAACTAGAGACCCCTCCAACGACATTGAACCCCGAGTTTCCGGGGGAGGCTTCGTCCGCCCCCCAGACGTATGGACACGTCAGAGAAAAGGCGGAGATTGGTTCTGATGGCGATGAGTCTCCTCAAGGCGCGGCCGATGACTATTTGTCGCCAAGGCTCAACCCGAGAGAGGAGAACCATGAGCCACCCACCTTTACCGCGATGGCGAGAGCCCAATTCAACCTCGCGAATCCCTGGCAACCTCAGTCCGGTACTACCAACGAAAATGCGCCGCCGGCGTCGGGACTTCGACCCAAGACTATATGCAGCATAGACAGCTCACCAGTGGCGTTGAAGGGAAACCTGCGAACCATTCCGTCCATGCCCAACGTCAGCACATACACTTCGAGCAACCTGGAATCGTCATTGGAAGTGCCGCCACTATTCTCAACCAATACGCTTGCCAAGTCCCTGGCCCCTTTGCGAGAAGAGACGCGCCTCAAGCGGCAGTCGCGAGCACGCCTTGGGCCCAATGATTGTTCGGCCAAGTCTAGCCCCGGATTCACGACCGCTCTTGAAAGGCAGTTTGGCGTGAGCAAGATGGGCTCGCCGGGGGTCTGGAAGTCCTCGGGACCGCCATACGAAGCTGATGGTGTCCTTGGCTCGGAAGCTGACCCTGGAGTGGACGAGCTGGGACGGCGGGAGCTTGGAGCGCAGGCGATGGGAAGCCGGAGGATGGTGGACCTGTTTCTGAGCAGTCGACGGAAGAGAAGCCCGAGTAGTCAGATGCGGCAGAGCAGCGATACCGGTAGCATGTCGGGGGCGTTTATCTAATCGGGGCAAGGGAGCGAGTGGCTAGAGTATGGGTTTATACTGGATGCTGCATGATTTAGATGGGGGAGGCGTGAGCTGATGAAAGTGATATTGCCGAGTTCATTACTACCCACCTAGGTACATTATGGTAGCCGGGTGATGAGAATGGGAGACATGACTAGGTATTTCAGCAGCCGCTAGATAGAATCCGCAGTTTCTTTTTGACTTGTGTCTCTCCGTCTTGCTGGTTTCAGATAATCGTCAAGTACTTAGCCTTGGATCTTTCTTTCGGTATGTGTTCAAGGGGGTCATTATTATACATTACCTATCTATTCTAGGTATCAAAGTTGTCATATATACAGGCTTGCTCAACAAAGAGAGAGAAAGCAGAGTAAGAGTATACTCAGAGATAATCTCTATAAGCAATCGAATCCTTCTCGTTTCCATCCCCACCACCATCGCTCTCCTCCTCATCCGACACGGGACTCACGTGAACCTCCCACAACTTGGCCATTGCCTTTGGGAACTCGTCCTTTCTCTCCTTGCTGACCCATTCGCCGTACTGCTCATGCGTGACCTTTTCCGCCAACACGCCCCTCATCTCGCCCTTTTGCACGATTTGCCCGTCCAACACGGCTGGGCCGCCGGCTTCGACGGAGCGCGACGTGTTGGTGTCGCGACTGGTGCGGAGGAAGTGCCAAAAGTCATCTGCCACGCGAACGTATTCCTTCATGGCCTCCTTTGTGTCCAGCGAGGAGCCCGTCGTCCAGCTGAGCAGCAGGGGCTCCAGCAGGGGCGCGTCGGAGACGCTGGGGTGGGACGTGCCGATGCTGGTGAGGAACCAAGACGCATGGCTGGGTATGCGCCTGAGCACGCCCAGGGCAAGCTCCTTGACCGTGTCAAAGTGCGGGCGGCCGTAGAAGGCGCTCTTGTGCTTGGACCAGGTGTTGGAGTGGACGATGAGCAGGGGCACGTCAATGACTGCGTTGAGCGGGCCGCTCTCCTTGCCCGGGTCGAAGATGATGCCGCCGACGGCCGGGTTGGCGTCGGACGGCGCGTGCTTGAGGGCCTGCAGGGCGCCCGTCGCGCCGAACGAGTGCCCGCCAATGGTCAGGTTGCCGAGGTCGAGGCGGCCGGCCCAGGCGTGCAGGTGGGCGCCCTCGAGGCGCGAGTTGCGGCGGTACACGTCCTCCCCTTTGCCGTCGTTGATGGCGCGCAGGACGGCGACGGCGTGCAGGATCTCGGCGTCGCGAAAGGCCAGCTGGTCGTACTTGTACTTGGCCCTGTCCATGGGCGGGACGGACTCGAGCTCCGCCTCCTTGAAATGCAAAATCTTCTTGTCCGGCTCGCCGTGGATGCGCATCAGCGACCCGGGCCCGCTGCCGTCGCGGTGCTCCACGGCGGCGACGACGTAGCCCCTGCTGGCCATTTCGCCGACGAAGTTGGTGTAGTCGGTGCGGGAGCTGGCGTCGCCGTGGGAGAAGACCATGACGGGGAACGGCTCGGGGACGACGTCGTCGTCGTCGTCGGTTGAGTTGAGCAGAGGGACATCGACCTTGGCCGGGATGGTGATGCCGCCCGCGATGAGCCACAGCGCAAACGTAAAGATGGGCCGCACGATGAAGTTGTTGACGCCCGCAAACTTGGCGTAGCCCTCGGCCGTCAGGCTGATGGGCCGGGCGATCCAGTCGTGCCTGGGCCGGTGCTCGCGGACGCCCTTGTCGACGGGGTAGTAGACGGTGAAGAGCGTCGTCTTGTGCTCAAACGCCGGCTCGCCGCTGTCCTTGAAGACGGTCTCGGTGACGAGCCGCGGCTTGTCGAGCGGCACCTCGATGTCGACGGCGCCGACGTCGAAGCGGCCCGTGTACGCCGGCAGCGGATGGGCCAGCAGCGGGACGCCGCGGACGAGGCACAGCACGACGTAGGCCATGAGCGCGGCCGAGGCGACGTACCGCCATGTGAGCCGCGGCCGCAACAGGTCAGCGACAAAGGTGACGGAGCGGCGCCACCAGCGGGTGAACCGGGGGTTCCGGGACGACCATGGCGGCGACTGCTGCTGCTGGGAGAAGAGCAGCCAGCGCGGCTGGGTGTCGGCGGGCGTCAGCAGCGGCGAGTCGGGGAGGAGGGAGGCGGACTCGGGCGGCTCCGGCTCCAGTTCCGGCTCGGGGGAGAGGGAGAAGTCCTGGTCGTGGACGGAGTCGAGCTCGAGGGCCGAGGTGTCGTCGTCGTTGTCGTCGGGGGAGCGGACAGGACGAGAGGAGATGATGGGGGCGGCTTTTGATTTGGAATTGGTAGGAGGCATATTGGTTTGATTGTTATGGCTGCATTTGGAGGTGTAGTTAAAGGAGGTGACGTCTAGATATGAGGCGTTAGGTGCAAGGGAACTTGATGGAAGTTGGGATTCTATAGGTGGTGATGGTACGAGCAAGGAGGACGCTGGGCCCTGCCGATGACGTCGTCGTTGGGGCTTGGTATGGCTTCAGTCTGTTCCCATTTCCGCACCGGCCACGGGGGTACGTGCGTCTGCGGCTATTTCAAAGTGCAGGCTCATGTACATACTCCGGGGCCCTCTTGATCTGCGCGTCATCGAAGGGTCTTTGCCGCAGCTCCATCACCATGGTTTTGGAATTTGTTCAGCCGCACAATGAGGATCCGATGGATTCGAGCTGAGAGATGGTGGATGAGATGAACAATGCCTTGTGGGTTAGATTTCATCTCATGTTCGACGTCTCACAGCGCACCTGCAATACCTTGAGTGGTGTGAGTGTATTGGTGCCTGGACTTTGTAGGGTAGGTACCTGAGGTAGCTGAGGTACAACATTGCAGAGTGCCGTAGGTAGGTAGGTATCACATGTAACATTCATCAGATGCAAATCCAGGGTCCATCATCCATTTCCTATTGCGAGATATAATGCACATGAATCTGACAAGGAAAAAAGCATGTCTCCCTGATGGCAATTGTTACGGCTGGTATTGATAGGTGATGAGCATGCGACTAATCAATCAAGTTTCGATTAGGTACCCGTCTGACTGCGAGCGCCACACCGGAAGGGATTCAGATAGGTCGATACGACGCTGTCGCCAACATGCAGGCCTTTTTGCGTTGCTAACGCTGTGCTTATGCTTCTACTGTACAGAACAGGCGGTTCCAACGAAACTTGATCCTCTTTGCTGGTCTGCATTAGTCTACGACGCAGCAGCTATCCACCAGGTGCCTCCTGCAATGCATCATTCGGCATCGGCGAAATTTGGCCAGCCAAAGAAGAAAAGGCGTATCATGTCTGTTGGTGGTGTGTCCCACTACAGTACATACGCAGCCACTTTCATGGCTCTGGTGCGAAGCCGGGATTCCTTCCTACCGTAAAAGGACTGCGGTTCTTGATTTGCTCAAGCCGGGCTGCTCCATTGAGCTTGAAGTTGGCCATCTCCATTTGGGTCCAATGATGTGGTGAAGAATATGCTAAATTGCTGAGAGTGGCGGATACGTCGGAACGCTCGAGTCGTGCTTGAATATTTGCAGAGGCTCAACACTTTGCACTTTGGAATGGCTGCCGTGGTGCTTGTAAAATGCATCCAGGGAGGCATGTAAACTGCTGCACAAGCAGTGTTGAGTGAGAAGGCTTGAGTAACTATGTTCAAGAGGTGAAATCATCTCAGGTGAGGGGACGACCAAGTAGGTAGGCGGCGGCCACGGAGAAGAAGAGTAGATTTTCCGTTAGCCAAGTCATGGATGAGGCGGGAGGAGACCATGTGCAGCTTCAGTACGCATGCTGGAACGTCAAGGCGGATGGATGCCTGTTCTCTGCATTTGACTGCACCATGGACCATCCTGCGTCATCACAGTGTAGGTTCTGAATTACCTACTGAAATGTCCAGCCAGTCACCCAACTGCTGCTTCACCCTCACAAACCAGCGTTAGTTCGCACGCATTCAAGGCTAGAGCCCGAGCAGAAACCAGTGAGAGAAGAGGAATCGGGTCGATGCCGGGCTGAAGCGTGATTCATGCAAGTTGGATGCATGAAGCGGGCGAGTGGAGCGCTGAGCGGCTGGGACCGAAGGGCTAGAGGCGTTCTACCGTATGGACCAAGAGCTGGCAGGCCCTTCACGGGCTATCACGCAGCCTGGCCAGCTGTTTTATCGCGTGAGCCACAGAATGAGGGAAAACCAGGGCGGGGAGGAGGGCTGGAATTCCCGGCTGGGCGCCAAGTCAAGTGTGAGGGTGCGAGTGCTGCCGAATGAGGCGCCGTCAGATGGCCTCGCCTGGCTTGTTTGGCCTGTCTGGCCCTCGTCCGTACCGTCGGTATCCTTGGTTTGGTTCAGACGAACATGCACAGGCTGTCTTGTGGTTGCTGCTGCCGGTAGTCATAGCCAAGATAACCCTTCTGGTTGCTCTGTGAAATGGGCGGCCTGGGATGGATGATGGCGATGGTGACGTTCTTATGGTATGGAGGTACATGTAGATACCTACCTGGTATGACGGAAGCGGTTAACGGAGTTCAGCGCCAGAGCCAAAGGACGCCCCCTTTGACGGGCCGCCGCGGGAACTCCAGCCATAGCATGCCTGTGGGAAGAGGTACCTTCCATTCCTTTGTCTCTTGACCCTTTGGATCCGAAGTCCTTGAGAAAGAAAAGGGCGAGTACCTCTATGCCCTGAACGACACCCGGGCGCCGCGCGGTAGCTGTGTAAGCATAGAGCCAAAGTACCCAACACTGTAATGACTGTCAGCCCGGGTGATTCGTATCCAGGAATTGCAACATCTCAGGCCGGTAATAAATCGGACTCGGGAAACGCGCATCGTGGACAAATGGAGACAAATATCCGTTGGGTGGCTTTGGAAAGGCTCTAATCGCTGGGACCGTAATAAAGTACCTGTGCTGGTGCTGTACTGTACAAGTTGTCGGAGGAGGGTGGAAGTGGCAGCAGATTTGGCCCCCTCCAACAAACCCCACACATGGGTGAAAAGAGGACAAAGATGACAAAGAAGCATGGAGATGGGGAGAGGCAATACGAAGATGAGTTT